GAAAGCATTAAAGGAAAAGTGTCTTTCTATTTAGCTCCTCTGCATCTTGCAATTCATAAGAGATAATTTTTATTTTGCACAAAGAATAACTCTTTCAAGATCAAAAACTTTTATTTTATCAGATCCGAGAGATACCCTACCGTTTCTCGAAGTATCCTCGATATATTTGCTCGTTAAAATATTCCCGACAGTTCTATCGTATTGTCGATTATTCGAAACATCGACGAAGAACAGAATATCTGCTTCGATCGACGGAATCGCGAATTAAAATGTAAAATACAACCAAGCGCCAAGAATCGTATCCCTGAAAAAGCCGTAAAAATCCGGTAATGAATAGGAGGAATTCTACGGTTCACACAAGAGCGATCTACGTATCATCGATGATCAATAGAAGCTTCCCCGAAGGATCGTTAATTCCGTCTCTAATTGACCAATATTCTTCCGCGGGCGCAAAAACCGCGCGCGGCTTTTCGTCGGACGTGTTGCGACGACTCCGTTAGGGTTGCGCGCCTGGGCGCGACGTGGAAATGAGCCCACTTATTTTAATGAGGACGTTCGATCGACGAATACGGTGCTCGCCGATCGAGAGCGGGATCGCGAGCGGGAAACCGAGAGCTCGTTACTGGATGACGACACATGGACGATCCATCGAAAGTCCATCCCATCTTGAACGTGAAAGTGTTGCAAGAAAAGCAGGTTATTACAGGTAGTTACAGGTGGTTACAGGTAGTTGAGGGGCACCGGCGCGGCGTCGACTCTCTTTCGCACTTCCTAAAGGCCGTTCCCCGGCCTACAGCCGAGGCCCGACCGCGACCGCACGCTCGTGTGCTCCTTTCTTTCCCGTGACGCAACGCGTCGTGTCTTTCGAGGCAATTCCTGTGGTTCGGGCCCAATATCAACGGAGGTGTACGTTTTCGTGGTGTAACTGACCTGTCCCGTAGAAACATTAGTTGCGCCGCGCCGCGCCGCTCCGCTTCGTGCCGTGCCGAGCCGAGCCGAGCCGAGAGAGCCAAGCCGCTTTGTGTCTCGCCAAGCCGAAGCCGAAGCCAAAGCCGAAGCCGAAGCCGAGCGGAGCTCCGCGCTGCGTAGCGGCGGCAACCGCAGAGACCTGTCCGTTTCGTCCCTTTTTCTGCTTCTTTTCTCGTTTCGTTGGCTCCCCTCCTTCCGTCCTGCAATCGGAATGCCAGCCAACCAGCTGCAACGAAAGTAAATGCGCCGGGGAAGACATTGAATTAGCGCGATATATCGTGCACGGTTATCTCTCCACAGCCCTCCTGACCACGCGGACAAATTCTTTGATAGACTGTACCCACCGACTCGTGAATACAATTACGGCCCGATGCGGCCCGCGTTCCTGTATAATTAAAAGTTTATACCCCCGGCATTTTTAGCCTGGCCGTTGCCGCGTGATTTTTAGCCGAGAACGAGGGAACGCCGGTAAATCTAATTATATTCGATCTCGAGATTACGTGGTAATTGATAATTATTATGCGCGATGGTGTCGAAGGATTTGTCGGGCTGTTGCGCGGCACGCTCTGCAGAATCGTCCGGCAGGCTGAAATTGAAATGCCGCGTTTTCTGATGGTACCGCGGCGCTTCTCACGATCGCTAGACCAGTCTTTATGCAAACGCCGATTTTTGTTCACCGAGGCTACCAGGATACTTGGCTGCTGATTAGGACAGCCTGCGGCAGATTCGCGTGGACTACAGCTGCTTTCGAAAATGCAGTAGGTCTTGTCGCGATGATAAGAAATGAGTTAATATCATATAATATAAATATATATTATATTATATATATAATGTATATAACAATAATAACAACTATAATAATATATATTATATAATATATATAATAACATATATATAATATAAATGAGTATATAATTTCGATTGTCTATTTATTTATCTGTAGACGAATTGCGGGTTGGAAGATTTATTAACCAACTATGTTTCTGTTTTGTTACAGGTAAGGACGGAAATGTCATGTAAGGTGTCTATTATTCTTTAACAACGCTGTCATCTTCATTCAGGTAACTCATTGTTAGTAGTTTGTGAGTAATTATTAGGATAACTTGGCACTTTGCGAGAAACAATGATTTCGAGTTACGATTAACAAATATAATTGACAGATCTTTCAGATTTATTCGTATATAACGCTTTCATTTGAATACAAAATTATTCGTTATTTTCGAATAATTTCGTTTATTCGCAGCTTTTATTCAAAGATCATTCGAATAAAAATTTACTCGAGAAAATTATTCGAATAATGCACAACTCTGGCTATGTAAAAGTATACTGTATCTATCTCGGTCCTAACTTCCCTCAACACTGAAACGGCAACCTTTAAAAAAAAAATCTAAACGAGTATACTTAGGATCATCTATAATTCTATTTATCAACTTTTGTCAACATATTTGTTAATGTACCTTTTCTAGATCCTTTTGTTTGTCCATATTATTTCCATACAAAAAGCGGAAGAAAATCAATTTTAAAAAATATCCCCATAACGAACAATTTATTCGCTGGTAGATCGATTAAACATGTGACTGATTATTTACAATGATCCTTTTTACCATTTGTTCACTTTGAACTCGGCTACGTGGCTTCAAGGTAGCCCATCTCCGAATCGTCCTACATTTACATCATCGTTTATAATTATTTTGTTCTTTGAAAAATATTTTTTTAAAATTTATTCAGAAACCATTAAAACACTGCACTTTGTTCTGATTATTCTAACCCAACGAAAACCCAAATACACGTACTAACGATATAAAATGAAAAAGTAAGGCTCGAATATACAATTTTAATAATTTCATACGTTTCTTCCGCTTTTTGTATGAAAACCGACCGCTGCGCGTGGTTCGACCGTTAACCGAAATCATTCGATGAACGAGACGAAGAGCCTCGCGTACCTAAAGATCCGCAGTCTCCTTAAACCAATCTCGGAGCAGTATCTGCCGAACAAAGTTACAACTTCATTAATCGCGCGCAGCAACAGTAAGAAGATAGTTCTCAGGACAACTGGGAATCCGCTTCGGCACGAGGCAATCAGCCCGCGATCCGAGCAGACGGGACTTTCTCCCACGGTGGAGAGGAACGAAATGAAAATCTCCTATTCCTGGGGTCTTGTCAGTCGATCTCGATAGAGCGTAACGCGATCCGTCTGGTGGTCGATGTGATCGTTGGTTCGGTGCCGTCCGAATTCATCGGATCGGATCCGCAATCCATTGGATCTCGCGACTCTCTCTCTCTCTCTCTCTCTCTCGCACTCTCTCGCTCTCTCTTTCTCTCTATATCTCTCTTTCTCTCTCGCTCTCTTTCTCTCTCTCTCTCTCTCGCTCTCTCTCTCTTCTCTCTATATGTCTCGCTCTCGCTCTCCCGCTCTCGCTCTCCCGCTCTCGCTCTCCCGCTCTCGCTCTCCCGCTCTC